TCTAATCTTAGTTTGTCAGATAACGCTAGTTGATAACGCTTCTATACGTCAGCCAAAATGTATATACTAGATGTCTCTCGGAGGACCTGACGTGGCCTGGTGCTTAGGGAACTGGAGTCGCAACCTGCGTGTCGCGAGGTCGAATCCTGTTACTGAACATGCTCGCTCTTTCAGTCTATATACTAGATGTCTCTCGGAGGACCTGACGTGGCCTGGTGCTTAGGGAACTGGAGTCGCAACCTGCGTGTCGCGAGGTCGAATCCTGTTACTGAACATGCTCGCTCTTTCAGTCATGGAATCGTTATAAGGTGAAGGTCAATTCCACTATTCATTGGTAAAGAGTAGCCCAAAAGTTGGTGGTGGGTGGTGTTCACTACGTTGCCTTCCTCCTAATCTATCGCTTTAAAATTAGGTACAGATAGACCTCAACTAATTTTATGTGAACTTAAAACTAACTAACCTTATTCATTGAAGCTTCTGTCTAAGCTGAATTCGTCAACTAGGCTGCACATCTTTTATTTCGCCAGGTAAGGTTTTAATACTGTTCACTAATATACATATATTAAAGAGTTCTCTCGGGACCTATTTAAAAATCTCATAATCGACACATATGTTTCGCTACTAGGTGAAGCCACTACATTGAGTGGAACTTAGGTTTTCGTATCTTTTTTTTTCCCCCTTGCTAAAATGTAATTGCCCAGTATAAGTTTTCTTTCTCTCTGGGTTTCAATAGAGATATTAAAATAATTCTATCAAAACATTTTGAGAACTTAGCTTTTCATACCGCACTTTTTCCTATCACAGGTATGGAGTACAACTTCGACAAAATGTTACCTTGGGAGAACAACTACTTAGGGGAAAATTTTGACTACGAGTCAGTCATGTTGTATGGTGAAATGGCATTCTCCAAAGACGGAGAATCTCCAACCGTTAGGCCTAAGGAACCAAACGTTGTTATTGGACCTGTGTGGAAGAAGACAAAATTTAGTGAAAGCGATGTCAGGAGGGTAAACAGGCTTTATGAATGTTTTGGTAAGGATTGTTCTTTATGTACATATATATGTTTGTGTGTGTTTGTCATTAAATATTATGCTCAGTTAAAATGTGACTCTCGACAAAAAAAAGAGCAAAAGCTAAGGCTTAATCCAAACATAAAATTGATTAATTTATCTGTAACTAGTTATACAATATTGTTGATGATAAGATACATCGATCTATCGCTTTTAGTACTACACTGAGCTCCCACCCCCCTCCGATGGATTACCAATAGTTCTCGTGGATTATAACACTAAAAATTGGGTTTGGATACCCGCGGCGGCCAGAGCATAAATAACTCAATGTGTAGCTTTATGCTCAACAGCAAATAATTAAAAAGCTACATTTGGTCTGGATCCATGAAAAGTATAACTTTCAACTACACGCACCCCATAGTATACCCTAACCTCACAGTTCATAGCTAACTGAAATAAATAAATTTTGCGAAATTAAGCTTGACCAACTAAGGGGCAGAAAAGTACAGTCAAGGCAGTCAAACGTCGGTAAATTCCTTTGTGAGCTAATCAAAATTAAGATCATTCATGAAATGAATTCGTGGCGTATTCATAGAATAATTATTGGTAAAAATCAGATTACAACATCTAATATATATATAAAACCCAGTGTGTTTTGGTAACACTACAATCTAACAATGGCTTTTATGTCATGTTACTTACCAACAAAAGTATAACCTAATATTGTTGGTAGTCTATGTACTGAAAATATAACATGAAGTGTACAAATGACAAAACTGGAAAAATATTTGTTGATTTCTTAATTTAGTCTCCACTGATTAAAGAAGTTTGTTTTTTATTGTTAGTGATATAACAGAAAACAGATTAATTCAGAAATGATTTAAGCTTAAAATTAAATCGATATCTTTACTTTTATGATAAATTTTATACATTTGGCTAGGTTTGTGTTGGGTCAGTGATAATCATATAATTATTAATACCGGTACATGTATTTTAAATGTGTATGTTTATTTACATACAAAAAATTAATAGTTCGACCAGTTTGATATTTTTCCCTGAAATTGATCTTAAAATTCTCCGTAGCCGTGACTTTAATATCGTTATTCTTCTCACATAGCCGAGAAACTTGAACTGAACAATGAATATGCCCTTTCGGGTTGCAATGGTGAAGCCAACTTTAGGCGGGTCATAGGTTGCCGACCACTGGCATAGACAATAAAACTGGAAAATATTTGTTGGTTTCTTAATTTAGAGTCTCCGTTGATTAAAGAGGTTTTTTATTATTATTAAAAACATTGGTGATATAACAGAAATATCTTATTTCACAAACGATATAAGTTTAAAATTAAATCGATATTTTAACTTTCATGATAAATTTTATGCACTTGGCTCTAGACGATGTGATCGATCTCACACTACGTTTTTACGGCT